CCTGGCTATCTCAATTATTATATCTAACATCATATATTATACTAAAATCTTTATAGAGATTTTGATATTCGTTCAAGTTATATAATGAAAATATAATAATGCAAAAGACAGAGTTTGTTATAAATCATCTTTAGACAATGATTTTAACTGAATAAAATGTTATTGGATCAAATCTTAGCAGAGTTAAATATAATACTGGCTAAAATATAGGGAAAAAAATTAATACTAATATTATGTTTGAATATTGATATTAATTATTGTTTGACGAAACGTCTTTATGCTTGTTTTATATGATTAAATTTATTTAAATCATCTTAGCATCATTTTCAATGTTCTTTTAATAAAATACTGATAATTTATTACAGAAATACATCAGAATGGATTTTTTTAGACATAAAATTATTCTGCAACTATACAAAATATTTAGGATAAACTTTCATAAATATTGAACTTTTCTTTAAAAAGTCATGTTTTAACATTGACAACCCTATTAGTATTAGATATTTCGATTATATTAGAAATTTTCTGCATTCACACTTTTTATAACTAATAGAAAGTTTGTTTTGAATGACGAAATAGAAATAACGATCAGTAAAAAATCCAATTTAGTGTAGGAGAAGGTAATATGAGACCCCACTTTTTGTGCGATTTGTTATGAACTATAAGCTCATGTTTCATTTTCTGGTATGGCTAGCTGTCTTTATTTCTAACCAATTTCTAATTTGAATTCACAGTTTTCCACTTACAAGAACATTTACATTAAAATAATTGAAAATTACAATTGAGGCATGAGTCACAAGGTACTAGTAACATAGAGTTCATTATTTTAGAGCTTCTGTATAAGGGTTACTAATGTTATTAAATTTTGATAGTTAAAGGTCGAGGGGAGGGGAGATAGAGGAGGGTTATGTGTCATATCTATAGAGAGGTCGGACTTAATGAAGATTTTACTCGCTATTAAAATTTACAATTTTTTAAAATATAAAATTCATCTCTACCTTCAAACTTAAGCTTTTTGCCACTTTATAATAATTAATAATATAAAAAGTTTTTTTAATAATAAAATATTATAACAGATGGTGCCACACATAGTTTTATTTATTATGGTTAAATTATAAAAATTATTTATTTTATTTTTTAAATAAAATTTCATAACAGCCAGGAAAGTTATGCAACTCGTTGCCGAATTTTTTTATTTTATAAGTACTTCAACCTTTGATAGAGGAGTGCTGCAGCTCGTCGCTTTTCACTCCGGAAGAAACAATGGGGCCGATCGCACAGCGACCGAAGAGGCGGTCTTATCGAAGACGAACAATACGAGAAAACAGGAGAGAGGTCACAAAGTGCCCAAAGCCGGCCTTATAAGAGACGACCTCCGCGAGAAAGGGAGACGGAAGGCCTTCCGGGAGGACTTGGGGCGGAAGCTGGTCCCTATTCAGGCGTCATTGGCAAGGAGGAAAACCCGGAAAAACTCCCGCTGCCGGCTCGTCCGAGTGAGGCGCGAATCCCCCGATCGAACTCCGGTGTTTAGGGTCTGGTCACCACCATTAAGCGGAGACGGAGTCCACTCGGCCACCATTTTATAAGTACGTAAGATAAACAATTGTTGAACCGAGAAACGATCGGTTCCAATTGAAATGATTTCCAAAAATATCCGAAAAAATAGAACAGCCAACAGAATCAAATGCGCGTTCATTATCCATTAAACTGCATAAGCAGAGCAGGTTTTTTGTTTTCAAAATAATTTCAACTTGAATTTTAATCAGAACAGAAACGGTAGAGTAAAAACGAATATTACAATGTAAAAAAATTTCAGTCTAGCAATAAAAGGATATACAAATAGTGTCCTGGGCAAGGTTTTATTTTTGGACTCTAATGTTTTGAGGAAACAATAAAAATAAGACAAATAAGATAAAATAATTGTTTAGAAATAATTTTTTTGTACACAAGAAATATACAAGATCATTCGCATGTATTTATAAACAAAAATATTATTACAGGATATTTGATAAGTTTCGTNAAGCTTTTTGCCACTTTATAATAATTAATAATATAAAAAGTTTTTTTAATAATAAAATATTATAACAGATGGTGCCACACATAGTTTTATTTATTATGGTTAAATTATAAAAATTATTTATTTTATTTTTTAAATAAAATTTCATAACAGCCAGGAAAGTTATGCAACTCGTTGCCGAATTTTTTTATTTTATAAGTACTTCAACCTTTGATAGAGGAGTGCTGCAGCTCGTCGCTTTTCACTCCGGAAGAAACAATGGGGCCGATCGCACAGCGACCGAAGAGGCGGTCTTATCGAAGACGAACAATACGAGAAAACAGGAGAGAGGTCACAAAGTGCCCAAAGCCGGCCTTATAAGAGACGACCTCCGCGAGAAAGGGAGACGGAAGGCCTTCCGGGAGGACTTGGGGCGGAAGCTGGTCCCTATTCAGGCGTCATTGGCAAGGAGGAAAACCCGGAAAAACTCCCGCTGCCGGCTCGTCCGAGTGAGGCGCGAATCCCCCGATCGAACTCCGGTGTTTAGGGTCTGGTCACCACCATTAAGCGGAGACGGAGTCCACTCGGCCACCATTTTATAAGTACGTAAGATAAACAATTGTTGAACCGAGAAACGATCGGTTCCAATTGAAATGATTTCCAAAAATATCCGAAAAAATAGAACAGCCAACAGAATCAAATGCGCGTTCATTATCCATTAAACTGCATAAGCAGAGCAGGTTTTTTGTTTTCAAAATAATTTCAACTTGAATTTTAATCAGAACAGAAACGGTAGAGTAAAAACGAATATTACAATGTAAAAAAATTTCAGTCTAGCAATAAAAGGATATACAAATAGTGTCCTGGGCAAGGTTTTATTTTTGGACTCTAATGTTTTGAGGAAACAATAAAAATAAGACAAATAAGATAAAATAATTGTTTAGAAATAATTTTTTTGTACACAAGAAATATACAAGATCATTCGCATGTATTTATNTTTGTTATTTTCGCTGAAAATTCACACGCAACCCGTAATTTGTATATCAATGTTAAGTAATTCAATTTTATTCGTTAATTTTACAACAAAATATATAGTATTTGAACGGTAGCGCTTCGAAATTCTAACGAGGACCATTCTAACTCTCAACGCAAAGGATGAGATTTCCATTTTCTCAAAAAGCCTTTAGTACTTTACTGAAAACAGAATCGTCCGACTCACGAGTCGTAGAGTTTTTGCTTTACACGTTTGCTTTAAATCAGGCATGGCCAACATACGGCCCGTGTAATGGATTTATGTGGCCCGCGATTAATTTTTCAATATTAGCTACTCGAGTCAGAATAGATCGGTGAAAAATTCTGACGCCTAAAAAAAACAAAAGATCAACAACTCGTTGTCCGGTTAGAGTTAACCCTCCATTACAGATCTCTTAAGTACAGCGTAGAATGTTGATAAAGCATGATAATGTGAAAAAATGTATCTGTAATCTCTACGTACAATTAGCTTTTCGTATACCCTGTGCAAGGTTTCATTTTTGAGTCCCTGATTTTTTGGAGAGAAGAAATAATAATAAAGCAAATATGATAAGTCAGTTGTTTATAAATAATTTTTTTGTACACAAGAAATATACAAGATCATTCGCATGTATTTATAAACAAAAATATTATTACAGGATATTTGATAAGTTTCGTCAATTCCATTTTGGGACCCTTTCGTCCCTTGCCTAAGTTCTGTGCACCTGTTGCACTTGCCTATTTACGGCACTGATAATAAATAATCATACAAACACATTCAAATATCTTCATCATCGCGGAGGAAATGAAAATAGGGAGAAAGTCGTTACTATTTTTTTGGAATAGCAATAACAAAAGAAAACCACTAATTACACTGATCAGGAATAAAGCTAGATTGTATAGTTTCAGTAAATAAAAAGAACAGGACAGCAAATGTAAGCGATTAGATATTAATAAAAAACAGCTGGAATGAGGTCAAGACCATTATGATAATTTCGAAAAGGCTTTTTGGACATCAAGAAAAAATAAAAATAAACGAAAACCTAAAATCAATTACATTTGGCATTATGAGAAATGTTTAAAAAATCGAGACTAATTTGTTGTTTACTGTATATCATATATTGAATCATCATTAATAACAATTTTTAATTTAGAGAAATGTCTAGAAATATGCTACTAGGAAAAGAATTTCCAAAAGTTTTGGAATCATGGAATACGGCTATAGCATTAATATAATCTTTGTAACTGAGTTCAGAGTCAAATTTGCTTTGCAATACCCGATGTAAATACAAGTAGCACGGATTATCAGTATTTTTTCAATATTTCTAGAATTTCTTGAATTGATTTTTAGGCTTTTTTAATAATTGGGAGAACCACTTTTTAGAGTTCAAATTAATTTTTTATAAGTTAAAAAATATTAGCGTGCACTGTTAGATCGGGAAGGTAAAGTAGGCACCGTAAAATAAAGTAATAACATAAATGTCTGTTTTTCTGTCTTATCGGTCTTTTCTTTTAAAAAAGAAAAGACCGATAAGACAGAAAAAGGCAGATCTAAAATAGTTGAAAGTATTTGAATATAAAAGGAACAATCTAATTTTAGCAAGTTGCTGACACAAAAGCCCTTAAAATGTTGGGTTAAGTATGCAAGGAAGGCGTTGAGAGAAAATCCAAACGGTCATCTAGTCTGTCGTAAATCGAAGTTTCGAAAATAAAGAGATTTTTTCCACCATTTTTTATGGTCAAAATTCGAACCTTGTTCTGATATAATCCAATCGCGCTATTCATGTTTTTCAAAGTGCTACAAAATATCTATTTATGATTCTAAACGAAATAAAACGAAGTGTTGATTAGGTTATTTACCGATGTAGAAGAAACTAATGTAAAATGAAAGATTATTTTATTTTACATTATTTTATAATTAGTTTTTTCAACAAAATTTTCACGAAGAAATTACTTTGAGTATATCATGACGAAGAATATTATTTTGTTATAGATTGTGGCAAACGTAACATTTCTGACGAAGAATTAGATTTTAAAATCGTAGGAGGACTACCGGCACGTCCAGGAGAATGGCCTTGGCAGGTGAGTATAAACAATAACTCGTTTTTGTCGAATTATTACATTTTTTTATTTTATTTATAACGTTAAAGACATTACAACAATAACTGTATATTATAAATAGCTGATTATTAATTGTACAGTACTTATTGTTCAAAAAATGTAAATTTATTATACCTAAATTGTTAGGTATGGAATAACGTTCTGGACAGAATTTTCATGAGTTGGATAACACAATAAAGTTATAAATGATTATATATAATACATAATTTTCTTATTTTTTCAGCTATTAATCGTTCATTTATTATTCCAAACTGGATTTCTCATTTACATCAAACATTTGTGCATAAATATATAAATTAATTTGGAATAACGAGAAAACGACAAGAAAATTAACAGTTGTTTGATATTACTGTCATCAGTTGTCAATTTAGCAATAATTTACTTACAATATTTTTCTATGAGAAAGTTCTACACTAATCTAATTATCTATTAAAAAGAAAATGATAAATTGCATTCAGATTTCTGTAAAGAGTTTTATGACAGACAGAAAAATTTCATTAATAATAACTTATATCTTAAAAAATTCAGATATAACAGTAAAAACATTTAGCCATAAAAATTATTCAAATCGGAAATCATATAGAAAAAAAACTGAGTGAATTGTGAGCATAATTGCATGCCATATCATAATGTAAATTTCATTTAGCCTATCATATTAATTAATTTTATGGAATATTTCTAAAAGGCTCATGAAGCCTTTTAGAAATTTATTTTGGTAAGTATTCTGACAAGTATTCTGAAGAGAAGAAAGTCATAGTCAATCATTATATATATTTTCTTCTCTAACCAATTCTTGTTATAAACCTGTTTTCTGTTTTTTAAATAATGTCTATTTTATTAAGTTCGATTTTATACATTTATTATACTTAAATCCAGTTAAATTTTTACAAGTATGATTTTCCGCTTAATTAAATAGTTTTTACTTTAAGGATTTAAAATTATTTTATTTAATTAGGNATTAATAATTAAAATAAAAACCGATTAATGCCAATTCAAATTAATACATAACTAAATCGTTTTGCTTAATATTTTAAAGAGGGATAAAGAAAAAGAATTCATTATTATTTATTTTGATGACTCCATTGGTTTTTAGAATAACCTTATAACAGAAAATATATAAAACTTTTGTCCGCTACTATAGAATGACTTCTTGTAACGATTCGTTTATTTAGTACTCATATGAAAGATAAAGATAAAAATGTCACTCATTCCAGCTTAACTTTTTAAAAATTTTGTATTTACACTATTTAAAATAATCGTTGTATAATCAAAGCTTTTTCTTTTCTTATATAGCAGCCTTTTCGCTTTGCCTCAACCTGTATTTTGGAAAATAAGATTAGGAGATTATCATCTCAAGAAAACCGAGGGAACAGAGTCTACTATTGCCGTATCGGATGTATATTATAATCGTTGGTATTTAGGCTATCAGAATGATTTAGCATTAATGAGGCTTTCTGAACCTGCGAAAATTGATTATTACGTGCGACCTATTTGTCTTCCCACTTCCGAGGATGGATTCGAAGACATGACATGCACCGCAACAGGATGGGGAAAAGCCGATTTCAGTAAGTCAGTAAACAGGTTTGAAGAGTATGATTTTATTAGAAAATTTTATTTTATATAGCTGACATTATATCACACAATTTGTGTTGGAGAAACATTAGATTTTACTTTTAAAAGATATGTAAATAAATTATTTAATTTATTAAAACCAACTGAGTTATATTTTTTAACTTTTATTCTTCAGTTGGATTTTAACAACATGCTAGTAGCATTTGCAGTGCTGGACTTAGACTTGTGGCCCTAACCGTAACATATAACTGGCCCTTTCCATTCTCCAATTAATGATACATTTTAAAATGTGAGGTTTTAAGCTATACTCATAGATTCATAACGCCAGGACCTAAGTTCCAGTTTATTTAGCTTATGTGCAAATGCGGCCCTGGGCATCTGGATACTCTCCAAATTTCTTTTATAGTATCTGTATATGATAAAAAAAAAATATATTATTACACACTTTACAAAAATTCTAATATAGCCTTTATAAAATTTAATAATTTCACAATCTTAAGGAATAAATATTTTTGTAATTTTTGTAATATTAGATTGATTATAATTTGGTATAATTATACCAAAAATAAATAAGTTTTATATTAATACATTTCAATAAACTAGAGAAGAAAATTATGTATTTATTTTGCAATAGGTTTCTGTGCAGTTAACACATCCTCAATATGGTAAAATAGGACATTGGTGTGGTGGAGTTCTGGTTGATAAGAGGTGGGTGCTGACAGCAGCACATTGCATAATCAAGTAAGTATCGTTGTACATCCGTAAATAAAAATAACAACAAATTTAAATTATATTTAAAATTTTTGCTTAATACTTAATTTTAATAATTGCTCATCGCATTCACAATTGCAATAATTAGTGCGCATCGATCACGGAATCAGCGTTACATAGTCTTATTTTCCATTCTTTTCAGAATTAATGGTCGAACCATTGTCATCTCTACAATAGTCAATTAAATGTAAAGTTCATTGAATGTTTCAGAAAAAGTTCTATCAAACTTAAAACAGATGAAATGCTTATTATAAATTTCATTTTATGTTACTTCAAACTATTCAAAACTTAACTTTAAAACTATACAGAATATTACGTAATAATTTAATTAGTTTTCTCGCTTACTTTTTGGCTTAAAAACTTTTTGACGACGCTCATCCTCACACTGCAGTAGAAACAGAAGTTAAAATGTTTGATCATCCGTCGTACAGCCCAGACGTAACACTGAATGATCTCCATCTGTTCACTCACTTGATTAGGAGCACAGAGGTTTCAAACTAACAAGCCAGCGTGAAGGGTCGCTAAATGACTTAGAGACAACTTTCTTTAATGAGGGTATAGAAAAGCTGGTGCCACGGTATGATAAATGACTAAATCGCAACGGCGACTACTTAGAAAAGTAACTGGAAAGTGTATCTAACTTTTGTAAATAGAACAGTTTTGATATTCAGTTCTTTTTTTTCTGGCACATCGGAGGTTGAAAAAATACCCCTTGTAGATGTTTATAGAACCGTTTGAGTCACGAATTACGCGAGAAAATTAATTAAATTATCTTATAACATCGTCTATGTGTTAATTTTGGATGGTTTAAAGCTTTTTTTTTATTTCCTTTTATTTTTGAGTCTTTTCGGCCTGCGATCATAATAGTGTTTTTTTATATTCATTATGAGAGAGGTTCAAGGCCCGACATGGCAAGATCAACTCACCATAAAAATTTCTGAGATTCCAAACGCTGAATATGGATCAGGGTGACAGGATGGTGACTTTATCGTCTTTGCCATCCTGCCATTAAAATAATTAATATTTTCGTATAATGTTTTGATATTAGAGTATTTATATAATTTATATTTTATAATGTCGTCTATTATGCAATGTCTTTTGAATATGTGGAATGCCTTTGTCAGCATACCGATTTCGTATATTACAAATCCTAAAAATATTGATGGATAAAGAGACTTGAAAAATAGAATATACTGTACTGCAATTTAACTCAAGAAAGAATATATTAATTTATAATGCAATTTTGTATTAATAATTAAAATAAAAACCGATTAATGCCAATTCAAATTAATACATAACTAAATCGTTTTGCTTAATATTTTAAAGAGGGATAAAGAAAAAGAATTCATTATTATTTATTTTGATGACTCCATTGGTTTTTAGAATAACCTTATAACAGAAAATATATAAAACTTTTGTCCGCTACTATAGAATGACTTCTTGTAACGATTCGTTTATTTAGTACTCATATGAAAGATAAAGATAAAAATGTCACTCATTCCAGCTTAACTTTTTAAAAATTTTGTATTTACACTATTTAAAATAATCGTTGTATAATCAAAGCTTTTTCTTTTCTTATATAGCAGCCTTTTCGCTTTGCCTCAACCTGTATTTTGGAAAATAAGATTAGGAGATTATCATCTCAAGAAAACCGAGGGAACAGAGTCTACTATTGCCGTATCGGATGTATATTATAATCGTTGGTATTTAGGCTATCAGAATGATTTAGCATTAATGAGGCTTTCTGAACCTGCGAAAATTGATTATTACGTGCGACCTATTTGTCTTCCCACTTCCGAGGATGGATTCGAAGACATGACATGCACCGCAACAGGATGGGGAAAAGCCGATTTCAGTAAGTCAGTAAACAGGTTTGAAGAGTATGATTTTATTAGAAAATTTTATTTTATATAGCTGACATTATATCACACAATTTGTGTTGGAGAAACATTAGATTTTACTTTTAAAAGATATGTAAATAAATTATTTAATTTATTAAAACCAACTGAGTTATATTTTTTAACAAGGCTATATTTAACCGAAAATTAACTTGTTTTTCTACATCAAACAATTCATAAAATTCAAAATTTTCTTACGTAAACTCACAAGATGCAGATTTCATAAGTAAAAAATGATAATGATACAAAACATTTTAAATTTAACATTAGAGCTTTTGATATATTCTTTTTTCTCTTTTCCTGTTCTTATTGAATTTGACATACTTCTGGCTGGAAAAAAATTGAGATTTATCCCATTTTGATGAAATAATTCAGAAATCCGGAGAGTTGTGAGTTTCAAATTCTCTATAAACTTTATCCAGGGTCGGTCAAGTAGGTGTGCAGGTTGTTCACTAACGGCGCCAGTTAACGAAAGGCACCAAATTGACTTTATACTATTACCTATAATAATAAATGTCACGAGAACTATTCGTCATAAACAATTGGAAAATTGAGGCAATTAAATTCTTGAAATTGCAGACTAAAGAAATATATTTCGCTTTATAAGACATTGCAAATGATTCAATCAGCGGCGCCCGCAGACTATAAAAAAGGGGCACAAACTATAAAAATGGCATCGTACATACATTATATAAAATATACAATATATAGTCTATATATATATACACAGATATACCAGGATTCTGAAGGCAATTTTCATTTCAAAAAATTACTTAGGTGCTGGCAATTCGTTGCGGCATGCTCTGGCGGTTCTATAAAAACAACTTCAAAGCCGGTTTTACGTTCTCTCTTTTTTAAAACCGATTTCCAGTCATTGACTGATTATTGTCTCCCGGTTTGATCTTCTGCTGCTCCATACTTGATAAATCTAGTTATTAAAACTAATGAACTCAATAAGGTTTTTTTAAATAATTTAACAAACTTGCTAAGTTGCCTTTCACTAATTCTATCAACGTATACCGGACTAGACTGGAGTTTTATTGCATATTTCGATCAAATTTTATACTTTAAATTTTCAAATAATTTTTTATCTCTTGAAGGAATTGATCTCGTGTCTCTTGTCGTAGTACAGTACATGTAACAAATCATACCATTTTACTGAAAAGTGTCGTCTATAGTGCTTTCTTTTTTACTCACGTAATATCTTCCAATGGGTGGCCTTGAGGAACTTCTTTATTTGGATCTTTGAGTTTTAAAAAAAACATACAAAATTTTAATGTATTTTCGCTGAATGTTTTTATTGTTCTTTATTCGTATATATTTATTGTATGCTTGTTAAGGTATACTTTTGAGTGACTTTTAATGTACTTTTTAAATTTTGAATGGTTTTTATATTTTAATTAAATTATTTATAATGCTAATTTTATTATTGTAATGATAGTTTTTTTATTTTATGATTTATAATGTTCCTCTTTTTGATGAACATTATAAATCAATATTTTTTATTGTTATAATTATATATGTTTTTTATTGTTTATTTGTACGTTGTATACTTTTATTTAAGGGATTTTTGTTACTGGGAGAGGTTCTTTCTTGTTCTATTGGACATTACCTGTAATAATTGTATGAAAATTAATTAATTAATTTTACTATTTAAGCCGATAACCGAATTCTCTTCCATTTTAAGTTGTTTTATCCAACTTATTGGTTTTACTATTCTATTGCTATGTAATGTATTCAATAGAAAGATTTCATAGCTAATGAGCATTACCTAATCGAAAACGATCTTTACTAACAATAGTTGATGTATGATCTGTATGAGGAAGATAGGCTACGAACATTGAATTTTTAATCATTTGTATATGTTATCATTTGTTGCAATAATGAATCAGGACGTCTAAATTAGGCCCCGTCTCTCACAATCCGGCTGCTATCCATTATGGATCTGGTCGAATGCACACAAAAAAGTCTTTTTAGCATTCGCAGAATAGAAAGAATTACAAGAAAGAAGTATGAGTATTTATAACGACAATTTTACAATACAAAACATGAATGCATAACCACTTGTAATCAAAATAGGCCTAATGCTGATCGGCATGTAATTTACACAGTACTGTAATCTAAATATATAAAATTACTTGTCCTGACTGATTGATTCATCATCACCCAGAGCAAACCACTGAACCTAAAGAGGTGAAATTTGGTACACAGTTAGGGTACGTCGTGAAAACGCACACTAAGAAAGGATTTTTTCGAAATTCTCCCCGGGGGAGAGGGAGAGGATTAAGGCTTAACCGGAAGAACGGCTTCTACTGTACTATTTTAAATGCGATTTTTTCTTTTCAACTACGTTTAGTCTTCATTGAGTTCTTAGGTGTATTAAATTGATAACATTTCAGACATTGTTATAAATATTTTTATATATTTCGATTTTTAAGCAAATGTTCGAACCGTTTTAAATTCGAATTTGTTATTGCATATTGGTTCGATTATAGAACGATTGTTAACGCTCCAGAAAATTGATCAAATTGAAAACAGTTCGTTTGATTCTCAGCAGTAGGTGTTATATAGCAATTACTATGGTTGTTGAAATACTGAATATAAATGGGATTTGCTTGCAAAATCCGCGCGTTCGAAGTCGCGGGTAACAGCTAGTAAGTTCATAAAGTTTTTAAGACTTTTTAGCATTTCGAACTCTTTAAATTTTTCAACTTGACCCATGATAAATTGTAATTTGCGTTTTGTATCAAAGAATTTAAAGTTTGATAATAGCAGAGTAATCCGTTATAAACGTTTTAATTATTTTGATCATCAAATATTTCTTAAATTTAATAAATAAAATGATTATATAAGCTTAATAAAGTAATTTTTAGTTACTTGTAGAAAAAATGACTAAAGCCTCGATTATCCGACCCTCTATTAACCGACAGCTCGGTTAACCGACCGTCCTAGTCGGCAAATTTCAAATGTCCGCTAGTGATGTGGCGCAACTATATTTGGCTATGTCTTGGCTACTTTAATATTATTTTTACGTGTTTTAGCTGGCAACACTCATTCGACCATGAAATGGAACCAGTATTTAAACGAGGCTTAATTTTATAATTTTTAACGATACAATAGCGACGATTATTATTTTAAAAAATTTTTGTTAGGCTTAACATCGATGAAAATTCAACGCGAAGTAGGTTAATAGCGATATACTAATATACTAATTACATCGGATATAATAATATACTACACTAATAATGGATTTTTTCATAATTTTCGGTTATCTGACTTTTCAATTATCCGACCAACCCCAGTCCCCAATTGAGTCGGATAATCGAGGCTCTACTGTAGTTACTAACTAATAGCCCTATCCGACTCCTCTCTTAATTATGTAAAATATATAGTTTATTGAGGTATTAAACAATAATAAATATACAGGTAAATAACAATTTGTGAAAAATACTTTTTAATCTGTTTGATGACGTATTTTCAGATAAAACAGGATCGAGTATCCTGCAGAAAGTATCAGTCAAAGTTATGGAAAATTCTATTTGTTTAAATGCCTATATGAAGAATTTCAATATTTCCATTCTGCCTTCTCATCTGTGTGCTGGAGACCTGGCTGGTGGCAAAGGAACATGCTTGGTATGTATCTATATAAGTTCAATTTCGGTTAAACATAATACAATTCGGATCAACTTTAAATTACTTTTATAAAAATTGAATCATTCTTCTTAATATAACGAAATCGCTAAGTATATTCATTTTATTTACAAAATATAAAATGTTTTCTCATAACTTTTCACTCAAGTTCAAATTGTTAAAATGCATGTAGCAAATTGTCTTTCCAATAAAATTCCTGGGGACGCCCGGATCCCCAGAGAGGTAGGAGTTAACAGCCTTAGAAATCCGGCCTTCCACGATGGAATTTTTAGGATGTAATTTAAAAAATTGTAGACATATAAATTCCCACTGTCGTCTCACTGTCTGTCTGTCTTTCCTTAATGTCGAGAACGGTGTTAGATAGATGAAAGTCGAGAACAGGCATGGAAAGCTTAGGAGCAGGAGCCCCCAGTTAACTATATGCGAACTTCCGAAGTCACGTTATATCAATTCAAAACTCTTCCCCAGAATGGAGTTACATAGATGACTGGCATTATTCTGTTGTTATGGGGAAAAGTATTATGTACAGGAGCAAGACACTACTAATTTCAGATGGGGAGGATATACAGTAGAGCGTCGTTTATCCGAATCAATTGGGGACTGGGGTTGTTCGGATAACTTATTTTTCGGATAACCGATTATGTATAAAAAATATAACCTAACCCGTGTTGAAATTTTTCTCCTCTGCGTGTCGCTTCGCGTTCAATTTTCATCGATGTTAAGCCTAACGTATACTTTTTATAATAATAATCGTGGCTATTGTATCGTTAAAAATTATTTCTTTATTTCTTACAAACAAAATAAATATATTGAAAAATATAAAAACCAAAAAATATATACTTTAGAAGATGATCTAGTATCAAAAACGTTCGATTCAGCACGACACAGTCCTCAGAAAAACACCACACAAAAGTGCCAGTGCTGCCAGCTAAAACACACACACCAACAAAAAAAATATTGGAGTAGCCCAAGATATAGCCAAAGATTGCAGCGCCACAGCACTAGCGAAAATTTAAATTTGCCGACTGGAATGCTTTCGGATAACCGACGTTTCGGATAAACGACGCTCTACTTATTGTATTTTAAATTAAACAAACTAAAAATTGCAGCCCGGAATTTCATTTAAAATTCAATAAAAATTAAAATTTGAAATTAATAAACTAATCTATTTTAATTTAAATAGTTTAAATTTTTATTAATTCAATTTTTGTGTTAATTTTTTATTATAAAATTTTAACGATAAATGCCGCTGCAATAAGGAGACAGGCACCCCAAAAAGGGAAAGAGACATTACAGAAATTACCTGAGTAGAAAGCGTATTACGTAACTATGATGTTCATTTACTTCCCTTATCTTTGTTCTATTAAAATTTGCCAACCCGTCGATGACATCTTTATTAGAAGAATTAGAAGACTCATAATTATACACAATAACGTTTATTCTACACTTGACACCGAAGAAAAAGGTATAACATATAACTCTGCACTATTAAAAATCACAAATGTTCACTTGAGGTTAAGGAATGCACCTTAACTTTGAGATAGAAGTGCCAGAATGGATCTCGCTAACAACAGAGATTATTTTTTTTTACTCCTCTCTCGGTAAAGTGGTTTTTTAATCCCAAATTACTAATTCTAAAATTCCGAGTTCTATTTGAGCTAGTACTGTATATACTGACGGACAAATAAACGTCAGGTTTTGTATTACCAGTTGCTGAAGTTCCTCAATCACTAACATCGCCTAAAAAGTTTTGTGTTTTGCAATTAATTTTCAATTAGAAAGAAAGAGCTTGTTGAGATTTCACTGTAATTCTTCTGTTTCGATTTATTTTGCAGGGTGATTCTGGAGGACCGTTGCAATGTTTAATAAAGGACAAATGGTATTTAGCGGGCTTGACATCTTTTGGATCAGGATGTGCCAAACCGGGATTTCCTGATGTCTACACGAAAGTAACTTATTTCGTCGATTGGATCAAGCATATTCAACATACGCACATTGCCAGATTTTAAAATCACGAATGACATTTCAAAATAAATTCTACCATACTGTTAAATTCAAATCAAACGAATTAAAATTTCTAAAACTCTAGAAAAAACCTAAATCAAAATTATAATTTTTCATTTGCAATAAACTTTTCGGTAATATTTTAATAGCCATTTTAATTGTTTAATTAAATAAAATTATATATAATCAACCATATCATGTTGTCTTATATTTGTTTATAGTTTTTTTATATTGTATAATTTGGTAATTTGATGAAATTAAATGTTTGGATGAAATGAAAAAGGTTTAAAAACACACAAAATGAAAATTATTTTAAAATCAATCATTTTATATAAACAATAATAACAATAAAGTATGCACAATTCGCTTGTGTCAGTAAATATAGGTGGCGTATGAGTCGACCAAAATGGCTGCCACAAAGGGTATAGCTTACGTGGCAACATATGAGAGTTACATATGTGTGTTGTCTTTTTAATCTTTTCTCTCTGTAGTCAAAACGTTTTATCCGCATTTGTGTCCGACATTAATTAATCCTATTTGATTTCGTAGTTGTTTAAGTCATGGTGATTACACTTTGTAACATTTTAGAATATGTGGGTGATCGAAAAAGATGTCTTATAAGGAGAGGAAATGCTAAAACATAACTTCATATCTATCCACCTCTTAGCAACTAGTTCACTTCAGTTTCACCAACAGCTAATTTTGCTGAGCTAAAAATTCTTTTATTTTTACAAACATTCTCAATCTATCTAATATAGGCCATCGTCAGGTTTAATATTATAAATATTCCAAAATGGAACGTACCGTTTTTGAATATTTTACATATTTAAAATTTTTTAAAAATTTAACTTTAAAATAAATTTTAAAAAGTGTGTATATTAAATAAACAAATAAAACATAGAAAACAAAGCTAACCAGAAAGAAATATGATTTAAGGATTTTTAAGTCTCATTCTTTTTTCTACTATATATTTCCATGCTGTTGGAAGCACATTAGCATCCCTAGCATTTAGGCAACGATTTTTTTTATTTTACTTTCATAAATTTCCACCTTTTCCATCTCCAACGCAATGGATGAAGAGTGCACCGTTTTAATGAGTAGCCTCTTCCCATTTTACAATCGCTCCTTCAGTCTGCGCCATAATCGCTAATATAGTAGAGTCTCGAAAACTCGGCACTCGATAACCCGGTAGTCCGGATAACTCGGCCACACCCTGGCAGGGCAAAAATATCCTTAGTTAATTAATTTTTATTATAGACATTATAGATAATGCCTCATAAAGTATTTTTCTGAGGTCTGTCTTATCAGATAAATTACTGTACACCGTGTATTCATTAATTTTCATTTTCATGTAGTAAAGGCTCTATGCCTTCATAAAGTTCGTACTTTTCCTTNAACGAAGTTCACGAAGGAAAGAGTTAGTTTATTTCGTTAAGAAAATGGTGCCCGACGATATCGCTGTTTCTAGATCTACTCGAGTGTTTAAATTGTGAATTAAAAGGCGAAATGATTGAAATAACTGTCCATCCGAAGCAATCTAAGAAAAATATTTTGGATAAAGCTGCACTAGCAACAATCATATCTTCGATTTTATAAACATCCATTTAGTTATAAACGAATCGTTCGAAAAGTCTAACGAAATAAGAATAACGATGATGTCATTCTCGTTTAACTCGTTCGATTTTATGAACGTACCCTTTATTAAAATATTTTTTTCTAAATTTTTCTATTTGTACCCTTTATTGTTCGCACGGGGGCTACAGTTTGGGGGTCGCAATCCTTCATTCCGAGGGTAAATCTTACCATTGGGACTTTAACGGAGCTGTAGAGCATATTGACAGTAACAAAAAAGTCAGAGGAACCGTGCCTCATGGAAATTGTAAAGAACGCCCACTAGGGGGCGTCCCTAATATAGGCCATCGTCAGGTTTAATATTATAAATGTTCCAAAATGGAACTTACCGTTTTTGAATATTTTACATATTCAAAATTTTTTAAAAATTTAACTTTAAAATGAATTTTAAAAAGTGTGTATATTAAATAAACAAATAAAACACAAAAACAAAGCTAACCAGAAAGAAACATGATTTAAGGATTTTTAAGTCTCATTCTTTTTTCTACTATATATTTCCATGCTGTTGGAAGCACATTAGCATCCCTAGCATTTACGCAACGATTTTTTTTATTTTACTTTTATAAATTTCCACCTTCTCCATCTCCAACGCAATGGATGAAGAGTGCACCGTTTTAATGAGTAGCCTCTTCCCATTTTACAATCGTTCCTTCAGTCTGCGCCATAATCGCTAATATAGTAGAGTCTCGAAAACTCGGCACTCGATAACCCGTTAATCCGGATAACTCGGCCACACCCTGGCAGGGCAAAAAAATCCTTAGTTAATTAATTTTCATTATAGACATTATAGATAATGCCTCATAAAGTATTTTTCTGAGGTCTGTCTTATCAGATAAATTACTGTACACCATGTATTCATTAATTTTCATTTTCATGTAGTAAAGGCTCTATGCCTTCATAAAGGTCGTACTTTTCCTTTGTTTAAAGGTATTTGGGCAGTTTATTCTCTGTTGTAATCTCAAGTAAACCATACATACAAATACAGTACATTATTTTCTGAGGAAACCCTCATACTTATTTTTTTTTAACCCAATTCCCGATAACCCGGCATTTTCACAAACTCGGCCACCCTTCGGTTCACATTAGGCCGAGTTTTCGAGACTCTGCTGTATTGTGTTGTTGTGTCGTTTGTCAACGTTGTATCTATGTTCTCTCATACATACCGCCAGGTTTCTTCTAGTCACACCCACATAATCTTTTTGATTTCCTAACTGTTGATTCCTAACTGATTATCTTTATCATTCCGTAGCAAGTTATAGATATTGGGTGCTCTTTTACAGACCATTCTCGAGTTTTTATAAGAAAAAGAGCATCCAATATCTATAACTTGCTACGGAATGATAAAAATAGCGTAAAAAAGAAAGAGAAAGTTGGGGTATATAAAATATCATTTGAAAATCAACAGTTAGGAATCAAAAAGATTATGTGGGTGTGACTAGAAGAAACCTGGCGGTATATATGAGAGAACATAGATACAACCAGAGCCAGCCCTACCATAGGGCAAACGGAGCAGTCGCTCCAGGCGCTAAGTCCTAAGTGGTAAATAAAATTAAAGGGTATAAATTAGGGGCAACCAAGGGGGGCGCCATAATAGGATCTCGCTCCATCCTAAAACTTGCTTCGGGCCGGCACTGGATACAACGTTGACAAACGACACAACAACACAATATTAGCGATTATGGCGCAGACTGAAGGAGCGATTGTAAAATGGGAAGAGGCTAGTCATTAAAACGGTGCACTCTCCATCCATTGCGTTGGAGATGGAAAAGGTGGAAATTTATGAAAGTAAAATAAAAAAAACCGTTGTCTAAATGCTAGGGATGCAAATGCGCTTCCAACAGCATGGAAATATATAGTAGAAAAAAGAATGGGACTTAAAAATCCTTAAATCATGTTTCTTTCTGGTTAGCTTTGTTTCTATGTTTTATTTGTTTATTTAATATACACACTTTTTAAAATTCATTTTAAAGTTAAATTTTTAAAAAATTTTGAATATGTAAAATATTCAAAAACGGTACGTTCCATTTTGGAACATTTATAATATTAAACCTGACGATGGCCTATATTAGGGACGCCCCCTAGTGGGCGTTCTTTACAATTTCCATGAGGCACGGTTCCTCTGACTTTTTTGTTACTGTCAATATGCTCTACAGCTCCGTTAAAGTCCCAATGGTAAGATTTACCCTCGGAATGAAGGATTGCGACCCCCAAACTGTAGCCCCCGTGCGAACAATAAAGGGTACAAATAGAAAAATTTAGAAAAAAATATTTTAATAAAGGGTACGTTCATAAAATCGAACGAGTTAAACGAGAATGACATCATCGTTATTCTTATTTCGTTAGACTTTTCGAACGATTCGTTTATAACTAAATGGATGTTTATAAAATCGAAGATATGATTGTTGCTAGTGCAGCTTTATCCAAAATATTTTTCTTAGATTGCTTCGGATGGACAGTTATTTCAATCATTTCGCCTTTTAATTCACAATTTAAACACTCGAGTAGATCTAGAAACAGCGATATCGTCGGGCACCATTTTCTTAACGAAATAAACTAACTCTTTCCTTCGTGAACTTCGTTAGACTTTCGTTCGAAACGTCATCACCGCAGAGCATGCGCACTGAGCGAGACTACTACTTTTCGAACGATTCGTTACTAACGCGTTTAACTCGTTTGACTTTACGAACGTACCCAAAGCCAAAGGAACCATACCTCTACGCGCGACCTTTCGCGAGATATCTCGGGAAGGGTCGCGCGTAGGGGTATAGTTCATTAATTAAGATACTTAAAAATACTTTAAAATAGATTAATTTGTTTATTTACCTTCGCTTGTAAACCTCGATTTTAAATGTATCCGCCATTTTTTCAACAAATTTCCCGTGAGTCAATGCGCGACGTTCACTGAGTCACGGAATGTTGCAAACGTGCGGCGCAAGGTTAATAAAGGTATATAATAATTATTTATACCATTCCGTGGTATAAATAATAAATTCCTATTACAAATAAATTTATTAATTTAAAATCTTCGCTAGAGCGCCTTTAGTGCCCGTTTTTGGCATACCGTTACGCCGACAGATACCAATTCAATGGGTTATATATACAGTAATACCCCGAACTTACGCAATAGGTGGGACTGAGCGATAACCACGTAAGTCGGGGTATAATTTCGCAATTTATGTAAAATCCAAGTCGGATGTATGTAAGCTAATAAATTTCTCGTTAATCTTATTTCGTCTTTTGATTTGTTTATTTACGGTTACAAGAAATCACCACATAGAATCTCTCAAGTCTCCGTAGATATAACAAACACAGAAATAAATAACACAAAATAAATTGTAGCTATGTGTCGATTCCGCGCGACACGTCCGAACATGTAAGCTGAACAATAGTATGGGGAGAGTGAGTAATCAACAGTTACGTGGCACTCAAACAAAAGGTGAATCGACGAGATTTGAAAATCGTGTAACTCCGGGTTCGCGTAAGTCGGGGTATTACT